CTCCATCGCCCGGTGAGAAGAAGAAGAAGCTCTGTGTTTGACTTTGGACAAGGATTCATGTGGACGTTTAGTGTCTGTGAATCCATCATTGTCACGGTTAAATAGGATCGGGGGTTTTAAGGATACTTTGTGGGGGACGGGTTAACTAACACTTTCCTATTAGCAACCACCATACAAATCCCTGGGGGCATTGTTTCAAGACGAACATCTGCTGTAACAATACACAATCACTGAGTTGGACTATGTTTGGAGTGAAGTTGAAATGGCTGCAACGAATGGAGAGTGCTGTGTTTGACTGTTGCAAAGAAATCAATGTAAAACTTTAGAAAACAATCAAGAAAAGTAAGTGTTTATAAAGGACTGTCAATACATCCACATCATGCAGGAATACATCAGACACAACTAACAAGCAAGACAAATCAACGATAAACGCCAAGACAACAAAGTGTCAGAGGAGCACTTAGCAACCCTAAATATGAATGTGGCAAATGTCCATCTGTATTTAAACAAGCGCGACCAACTGAGCGTGTGCAGCTATTGAGAGTGAAGCATTTAGGCTCTCTTTCACAAAGGGCCCGAGGGCTAAAACCTTACACCCCTCCCACCTTCATTATCCCTGCCGCACTATGATCAGCACCAAATGCCGACTATCCCAGGCCAGCGCTCACAAAGCATGCTGGGAAGGACAAAAGCAGACCTTCAGCCGATTGGTTCCACCTTATTAACAGCTTGTAATCTTCTCATGTCTTTGGACAGGCCTCACAGAGCAGGAGTTAGGGCGAATAGACGAGTGTGTCCTCCGTTGCTGCTTTGATGCAGAGCAGCCTTTTCCCCTCTGAAAAGTCCTGCTCTGTTATATTTCCATTGTGGCCGCTGCACCTGTTTGCCCACAGGGACACATGGAGAAATCAGTCACTGGCAACTGTTAATTTCTCATTAGACTCTGCACATTGTAAACAGAAGACAGTTTGGTATGTGAAGACCATAGCAGGTGCACCTCCTTGTTATAGTGGACTTTTATGTCTGTTACTCAATATAATAGGATTTTGTAAGTTGAATTGTTAGTTACACTAAATTAATTAGTTGTTTTTTAAGAAAGTCTGATTCAATTTGTTAACGTTTTTGATATTTGACTTGACTTTTAACAGCAGTTTGATTGGAGTTTTGAATTGGAAAAACAAAAACAAAAATTAACATATATTTTTTTTAATTCTACAAATTTCATGAGCCTTGTTTACCGGAAGTCTTTTTGTGCTCTTGTCTTATAGGGTTATTTGCTTGGTTGCATCCTTGTCAATTCAGTGAGTTAATATTTATTTATATTGCACAGATTCTGTTTTGTCATTTTATGTTGGTTTTTAAAAGTAGGTTTTCAGGGGCACTGTAAGGCTATAGCCAATGTTTAAACAGCAAGTGAGACAGTTGGTGAAAAACAGATGAGGACACAGAAAATAATCGTCCCTATTTTGTGGAGCCTTCTTCAGACATTGTCAGCATAAGTCCTCCCGGCGAGGCAGAGAAAACACATCGACACACCATCAAGTGACACAAAAGAGCTCAATCAGACACCTGATGTAAATTGACTCCATTAAGTCAAGATTGCATGTGTCTTGAGTTCATTTGTGAAACTGTCTTTATATTATCCAGTGAGGTGGATTGATAATTATACCAATTTGTATTCAATTAAAGAGCCAATAGAGGTTGTTTTGTGTGTGTGTGTGTGTGTGTGTGTGTGTGTGTGTGTGTGTGTGTGTGTGTGTGTGTGTGTGTGTGTGTGTGTTTGAACAAGGAAACGTCTGCCCTGGTGGTCCAGCAAAGGAAGAATTCAGCTTTCTTTTTCTCCTTAAGAAAAACTGAATTTATCAGTAAGATTAAAGGAAGCATGTAAACAATTCTAAGAAAATTGCTAAATATTTTGAAATGTAATTTGCAGTGTATATCCTGTTTAGTATGCCAAATTAGTCTCTGGTTTGTTCAGTTTTAGTTTTGTATTTATTTATACTAAATCTTACATTTTGTAAAGGTTGTTTTAATTTTCCACAAATTCCACAAAATGTTGGACAAACCTGGAGGTCCAACTTATTTATTTTAAACGTGTACACTTGTACAGCTGAAACCTCAGTTGAAACAGTAAGAACATATGTGCTCCATTAAGAATGACTCTGTTTAAATTGCTAAAAAAATACACAAAAATGAGCCTTATCCACACTGGAGTTTTTTTTTATTTCAGTGGTGTCACTTTGGGTGTATTTTTCATCCTGTATTGTGGGATAAATTGAGCCAGGAGTTTGGCTGAGGTGTCTTCCTGTTTGTCAGACGCAGGAAACGGCTGCACACAGACGAGGCATTTAGCTCCCAGGTGCAGACCCACCATTGGAGGGCCTTGCCCAGATGGATATTACTCCTTCCACCATAAAGACACTAGTCTTCCCTGCCCTGAAGCCCCCGGTGCTCCTGCCCTGGTCCAGCCTCATCAAAGGAGCCTGGAAGCTGGGAGGCGGATATGCTGGGCTGAACCCCAAATCAAGCTCACTTTTCTTTCCCTTGTAAGCAGAGGATAAAAAAAGTGGGGGAGGTGCGCCTTTCTGGTAGACACCAGCTTCTTTCTTTCTCCTCTTTTCTGACTTCTGTATGCGTGGCTCCTTGCAGGTGTCCTTTTTCTTCTATTGACACTGAAACCAGATCCCTGAATACAGTCAAAACCATCATGGCTTGTTTTCTTTCATTAGTCAGTTTATTACCCCTCATTGTTAGAGAGGCCCTCAGTCAAGAAACAAGGCACGCACACGAACACAACACACACACACACACACACACACACACACACACACACACACACACACACACACACACACACACACACACACACACACACACACACACATTCATCCTGGCTGCCTGCACTCTGTTCCCCTGCAGGTGCGAGGGCCATCCGCCTGCCTCTTTTCATGAGGCCCTCCCTTTCCTGTCCGTCTGCAGCCTTCCATTCAGCTTCAATCACAGCACCAGCCGGACGCCACCGGAGAACTGACAGGGAAGGGAAGCGCCTCCACACACATCTTTCACTTGTTGAACGACAAGAGAAAGAGCGGCTGGGGAGAAAAGAAAGGGTCTTCCTCCTCTGCATCTCCTTCTGCTTTCATCGTAAACAACTTGCTTTCTGTTTGTAACGGTGCTGTCCTTCCCCTCTTCCCCCTGCCTTCCTTTTCTCCCGCTCAGATGGGCTTTACAAGGAAAAGAGGGGGTGGAGGAGTGAAAAGGAGGAAGACGGCAAGGCTCCCTGTGCAACGGAGTGATGCTGAGGTCTTTTTGTGGCTCATGAATGGCACATTTGAGGTTTCCAGCCTTGCTCGGTGCCCCAAGCCAGCTTCACCTGTGGTTGGAGTCAATTGGCCTGTTGTCTGCACGTCTGGAACCGTGCCCAGCTTTCTGCCAGCCAATTTGGTTAGCGTAGCTCCTCAGAACTGAGCAACAATAACCTCCACCTCAAATCCATCAATTAACTACTAGCACACAATGATGTATCCATTCACTGTTTGCCAAAACTGTTCTCTGACTCAATTAATACGCATACTAATACTGATTATACCTGCCCTCTGTCACACAACAAAGTGCCGATTATCATAATGGCATCCAAGTTGTTAAATGGCTGTAGAGGTGCATTCCATTAAGCCCACACTGTTGTGCCTTTTGTGAGTGCTTTCAATTAACTTCACACAAAGAAAAAGTAAAAGCGATGTTGCTCATGTTGTCAGGTGCTAACAAGAGTCTTTACTGGTGGCTTTTAGGCACAGTGTTGCTTTGAGCCAATGCTAACATCAATGTGCTAATATGCTCACAATGCTAACTCGCTGATCTCTAAGCTAATGTACATCACACTCACCATCCTATGTTGGTGTGTTAGAATGCTAACAATTACTAGTTAGCACTAATGACAAAGTACAGCTGTACAGCTATACAAATGAAGCAACAGTAAAAGTATCTTATCATGCCAATAACTAGTTAGTTATTGCACTATAATACTCTTCTTTTCTTTATGCTTCTTAACATACTTTTACTTTAAGTAAAAAACTAGAAAATTCAATGATCGTCACAAATGGAATTCACAAACGACTGGAAAAATAATATAATATAATAATATAATATAATAATATAATATAATAATATAATATAATTTTGCTTTGATTTTCCAAATGCTTGGTATCGTAGCATTATGAATGTTTTGTCTTTTGTGTAAGATTTTTTGTTTCTGCTTATTAGTTTGACTTCATTGTACTGTAGCTTCACCGAGATTTACCAAGATTTAATTATCTTTAACGGTGTCCTGGCAAAGATAGCAACAGCGAAAAGAACATTTTAAATATAAAATGTACAGTTTAGCCCATAAAACGTTCCTATCTATTGCTCAGGTTCAATTTGAGTTTCATTAAAGCCATCTTAAAAGTGAAAGCTCCATTTGGAATAATCCAAAATGACAACACAACTTTCAAAATAAAATGCATAAAAAACAATGTAGACTTAACTGTTAACCACATACAGGATGTTAATTGGGTATTTTAATTTAGTTTATAGTTTTCTTGTGTGTGGTTTAGAAAAAGAGATCTCATCATCTGTGGGATGAAGTAAATGATCCACTGATCCCATTTTCATTTTCTTGCCTTAATTAGTCTTAATTTTCACTGGGATTCTGCTAGTGTTGTAACCCTCTACCCGTTGTTTTTCATTTAACTGTCAAATAAAATAAAAGTCAGACATATACATGTGTGTTTCTAAAGAGCACATCATGTGTCTGGGAGGAGTTGAGCTGAGGTGGGGGTATGTGAGGGCAGCATTTAGCTCACTTTTCAACTGTGTGAGCTGTCATTCTCACCACACGCAGCTGTGGACATGAGATAAAACTGAGCTGCCACTTTAGGAAGCTCTCATTCACTCACTTGCTCAGCCAGAAACCTCTGAAGCCAAAAGTAAAAACTTTTGGTGACTCTTCATTGTGCTGGATGGCAGCTGTTTTCTGCAGCAGAGGGGAGATCAACAGGTGGAGGAAATGAAGGTTTGATCTTTTTTCACTGTGTGGATTTTTAAAGAAGAATTGAAGTGTTTTTGCTTTGACCATTTTTTGTTTTTCTCTCAAACTTTATCTTTTGCTGAGGCAGTTTTTAAAGAAGACCAGACTATGAATGTGCTGTCAAACCCAGGGATCAGGGGGCAGGAGCAGTCTCTCCCTCTCTGTGGCCCCCGGTCGGTCCAGGACTTACCCCACTGCCCCCCAGGGTTCAGCCTGAGCTCCCGCCTGAATCCTGCCCCAATGCTCGGCCTCCAGAGCGGACAGAGACCGCCCAAGCCTCAGAGGGAGCTGAGCCAGGAGGAGCAGCAGGACCTCAGGAGGAAGATCAACAGCAGGGAGAGGAAACGCATGCAGGACTTGAACGTCGCCATGGATTCTCTGAGGGAGGTCATGGTGCCGTATGCCTCCTCTCCATCCTCTGCCTCCCCCCCTCACTCCCACCAGGCCGGGGCCCCTCCAGGCCGCAGGCTCTCCAAGATCTCCACCCTGGTTCTGGCCAGGAACTACATCCTCCTCCTGGGGTCGTCTCTGCAGGAGATGCGGCGGCTGCTGGGGGAGGTGAGTGTGGGGATGGGGGTGAACACAGGACCGGTCCCCCGGCTGCTGCTCGCTGGAGGGTGGCCCCTCATCTCTGGCCCCAGTCAGCTCCTCCTTACCCAGGAGTCCCTCCTCACGTCAGCAGCCTCGTCCTCTTCCTCCTCGTTGGCATCTGCTGCTAAATGTCCCCTGATGTCCCCAGGCCACATGGAGGCCTCGCTGGCCCCTGTGCACTGGAGCTCTGCGGGGGCCTCCGGAGGGCCCCTGTGCCCCTGTGGAGTCTGCAGACTACCCAGATTTAACCACTCCAATCCGGTCCCAAGATTTCCAAAGTGACACTTCGGGGTTGAAGTTACTAAATGGACTTGATGACTGTTACCAGAGTGCCACGCTTTTTTATATGAATTGTTATTTCTAACATTTAGAAGATGTCTGTAATAATTGACTGCAATAACTCACTTTTTAAACCTGATGGATCCATTCTGTATTTGGAAGCCAGTGTCTTTTTATGTATAAGTATGTTTATAAGTAAATGTAATAATGCCCGTTTTGTTTCAATTATATATTTTTAAATACTTTTTGGGGAAGCAGAGAAACAACTTGCTACTTCTATGCTTATTATTGGAAACGTGAGCTGTCATGACTGAGTGTTTGTTGCGTTTGATTAAAGTGATTTGCCTTTTTTGTTGGAAAACGGTCACAAAAATAGGGGCCTAGAACTAGAGGGGTCCCAAATCAATACATTTTATGAAATAAAAAGTATGACGTATAACAGCAGTGAAAACACATTGTTGATTTCAGATGAGAGATATTTGTGTCTTATCTCTCTGGTTTGAAGTGGCTTGCTAGTTTTTTTAGACAGACCCAGCAGGCTCTTGATTTTTGATGTTTAAAAAATACACATATTGTTTTATGTCTGAATATATATGTTAGTTTCCTCATTATGTTCCACAAAATCCATCCATAACACCACATCAGTTTCTCGCTAATGTCGTCTCAACTGCATTAAGTTAAATACATTTAAAAAAACGAATGCTACAGTATGCCAAACTAACTTGAGAAGTAATGCACTGTACTTTGTGCCGTTTCACGTTCATTGGTTCTTCACTGCTGACGAGGTGCTGAGCTTTAAAGCCTCCTTTACCCTCCACACCCCAAAATACTGAAACAGTCCTCATCCCTTCCTCTATTCATCACCCCAACAAGCAAAAGATCAAAACCCACCCGTGTAATTACTGCTGCGCAGAAAGGAGGCCTTTTGATTATTAGCCCCCTCTCTTTCCTCCATCCTCAAATTCTTGATGTTTCTCTGTGTTAAGGTGCCGGGATGGGTGATTTGGTGCTACTCATTACACTCACTCCACAATATGTTCAAACGCCCAGAAAATGTGTCTCGCTGAATAGGGTTCACTCCTGCAAACTCGCCACCCCTCTGGAAGAAAGCAGGCAGCCCCATTCTGAGCGAGACTAAGAGGCGCCGGTAGGAGGGAGGATATTCTCAGCCACAACCTGGCCCTTAGCACGGCCTGCATGAATACAAATAATCATAATCATAATGCTGATAAAATACTCAAAATAATTGCTACCCCGGAATAAGAGGATTATGCAGGGTAGATATGTGAATAGTGGCGAGTGAAAGGCTGGGAATCTATTAGCATCAGGGTGGACAATAGAGGAGCTGGATGCCATTAAGTGAGATTAACCTAAATAAGGCTTGATTTTCTTACAAGGAAACAGGAGGAAGGAGAAGAGGGTGAGAGTGAAGGAGGAGAGGAGGGGGAGTGAGGGAGAGCCTGATTCATAGATCAAAGTAAGATGGCCAAACTTCACGTCTTTCATTTACATATAGCTGCTTTATCTCTGGAGGGATTAGCTACCTTGCTATTTTCTCCGGGTTGCTCTCCATTCTGCCACCTTTTGCCCACCATCCTTTCCCTCCTGCTCTCAGGATGGTTCAGCCCTTCTTCTCTTCTTTTTTTTTTTTTTTTTTTGTCCGGCTCCTTAATTTCTCCCCCCTCTCATTCTCTGCCTTTCTCTCGGTTTCTCCAAGAGGCTCTCACTTTCTCGAGTTTGGTGGTTTCATTGTTGCAGCGACGCAGGGGTCTGGTCAGTCTTTGTGTTAGCACTTTAACTCATCTCCATTTCATCACTGTTGTTCAATGGGGCGAGGAGGGCTTGTAAGACAATACACACACACATGCACACACACACACGCACCACACACACACACACCACACACACACACACACGCACACATGCACACACACACACACACACACACACACACACACACACACACACACACACACACACACACGCACACACACACACACACACACACACACACACACACACACACACACACACACACTACCAGAAAAGAAGGCTAAGCACTGAATTCTTCTCACTCTTAGCACATCCAATACCTTTGTCATTGTTTTTTTACCATTGGTAATTTTCCCTCTGTTTAACTAGACCTGACCTACAGGGCCTCATAAGAACAATGACAATATAACAATACATTCCATGTAGACATGCACAGACAACACAAGAGTCAAATGGTACAAATGGACATTAATAATACCCAGTTTAGTAAATAACATTCCAAATATATACTATTATATATTGTGAATATAAAGGAAACTAAATGAATTCAAAGCACTGACCATGATTCTTTTTGTATGGCCTTTTGACAACTCACCAATTAACTTAAGCTCAAACTACTTTTATTTTTCTTTAGTTAAAGTCAAGTATGTTGGTATTTTCTTTCTGCAGCTGAGGCGCAACGGGTAGAACAGCTTCTCTTATAATCTGAAAGTTGGCGGTCCGACCCAAACTCCTGAAGCGGATAACATCCAATTTCCAACCAGCCTTTATATTTAATTTAACAGTGACTGCAGTATAACTCTAACTTAAAGTGTTAATATTGTTACCACAATGAGGAATATCTTCAACTCTGAACAAAGTAGTATTTAAACCCAAAATACAATATTTCCGAATAATTCCCTTGTGTTAACACAGTGTCACATTATATACCTGAAAGGTTTTCACCAATAATATATGGTCACTGACAAATGATATCATTCTACTGAAAGAGGCTTTAGATCTAGAGAGGGTGATTCCAATGGATGCACTTTGTTGTCTGATTTAGAGGACATGTTGCAGGGAATTATGTTCATATTATATTAACTATTGCAAATTGCTAAAACATTGTCAGTAAATGTTTATCGGTAGATGCAGGATGGCTATTGTATAAGCCCTGTAAAAAACTCTGAGGTGTCCTTATATGGAAATCAAATGGACTATACAAAGAAAAACACAGCCTGCCTTATGCTTTGGCATTCTCTAGTGCTTGTGTCAGATTTAAATGTGCGTACACAGAAGTCAACCATTCAGTAAACAGCTGTGAAGAAGCTTTATTCTACAACACTTGCTGCCAAACTGCCTTCACAAGATGGTGCTTTTTAGATTCATACATATTTTTGCTAGAACCCATGCAGCTTAAATGCACAAGTTGCTTCATATTTGACTTTAAAGAACTGTTATTTCTTACTATATATCCATTTGGATTTCAGTTGTTGTGTATCCAAGCAGTCACTTTATATTCCAACATGTGTCTCTAATGTGGAGCGTACACATTGTGGTGCACTGTCCCCTCTCCTGCAGCCTCTCATCTCAGAGTGTTGTTTGCCTGTGGCCTTTGTCGTACTGTTTCATAGCACTTAACCAGTCAACGTGGGGAGTCCTTGGCTTAGGAAGTCCTGAGCCATAAATTTCATCTCCACAATGAGCAGAGCACAGGGGCTGGTCAGGACCCCCATTTACTTTCTAACCCAGCTTTTATTCATACCCTCCCTAAATAACATCAGACCCTCCTGTTCTGTCCCACCCTGAAATTCCCCGATCCCCTCTGTCACCCCTTCTTTCTCATACCGAGCCGATACAACAGGGTTACTGCTGAGCCCGCCGGCCCGCTCATTAAGCATCGTGTTCTCTCCCACCCATTCCTGCCCTCTGTCCTATTCACACCGCAGTCCTCATTACAACTTTACAGGCCACCATCAACCGCCACCTCATTACCCCAATCCACCGGCTAAAAGACGCGCTGAGATGGTGTGTGGTCACATTGTCTTTTCAAAATCTGAAATTATCTGTAAAGCTATGCAAAATATCTGGTTTAGGGGCTGATTTTAAGTTGAATATGTTTGTTTATTACGTGTTAATACTGCAGGTGGTGGGATAAACAGTAAAACACTGAAAAGACACACACTGAGACACATGGAAAAGCATAGAAATCATGCTTTGGTTTCCTTCCAATGCATCATTTTTGATAGTTTTAGTTAAACATTTTATAAATGTATAAATAAAATCATGTACCAAACAGAGAAAGTGAATTGTTGTTAGACAAATAACAAGAGGAAACATTACTGGTGGGGAAGGATTTGGACTTTTAGCTAAAAAAGAAATAGTTTTCAATAAATGTTGAGGCCGAAGTGTTTTTGGGCCCCCATGGAAACACCAAATGTCAAAATCATGACATTATTTAGTGACCCCTTTTGCTGAGGTCACATAAGGCCAACCGGCTCTCCCTTAAGTCACTAAAAACCTTGTGTCCATCTTGTTTTTCTCACATGTATTACTGTTACTCAATGATAAACCAGGTTGTCAGTTCAGTTTGGTGTAGAGAGAATGCATAGCCATTTTTCTTTACCGATTCAACACTTCTTTACCAACAGAAGACAGCGTACAGAGTATATCTGAAAACTGATTGAAACTAAAGGATTGATTACCTTTCAGCCACACATCGATATTCTTACACCATATTTAATATCGGAGATCCAAGACAAAGATGGGATGTAAGAAAAGGGCATGATCTTTCCTATCACCTGCCACATCCAAATAAAATCTTCACCTGGACCATTAAACCTGATTTTCTCTGAGTCTGTGTTTACAGGGGATTACAGTCTATCTATTTTAAAAGCGGGGCTCCACATGCATTAGGTATAGTTATTTACCTTTACTGTTGACCACTATTTCTATGAGAAATGTTAAGATTTGTGATATGAAAGTACACATGGAGTTTTGGAGGGAACAAAAATAGAAGCTGTGCATGTTTTGCCAAAATGAAATTGTATTTTTGATCATCGAAACATGACATCTAACACTTATGAACCAGGAGAATACGTACTACAAAAATAAATAACAAAGACAATAAACATAAAACTATTAAGTCATGCCGTTACAAAATGAGTGAAAACATGGGAATGGTCCTTTTAAATGTGTGTTAGTGTGTCGCTGTGGTAATGAACCCCCGGCCCTCGATTTGCCCTCTGAACCCTCGGTGGCCTTGGAAGCAGGAATTCCAGTTAACACATCACAGATGAGTTTTCTTTTCTTCTTGTTTTGTGTTTTTGTTGCTTCTCGCCAAATGTAGGCTGGGTGTGGACGGGACCTGACAGCCAGCAGCCCTCTCGCTCCTCTGTTTTCCTGTCTTCTTTCTTCCCTTCCTTTCTCTCCCTCCTCTGTTTGGGCTCCTCTTTCTTGCCTCCTTTTCTGCTTAATTGAGTTGTTTGGCAGGCGGGCTTGTCAGACAGCACCGTCTATGTGGGGAGTCTGAGGGGCGGGGGGGCTCCCGCCATTGTGCTCCCAGAGACGGGTTAGTTTTTCACCGTTACTGCTGCATGAGTGAACATGGCCCAGATTAGAGCGAGGGGGAGCTGGAGGAACATTTAAATATCACAAACTTCTATTTTGCATAATATTAAATTATTACAAAAATCTGCAATGGTTTTAGTTTTTCTGCAAAGTTTGTAACTCATAACAACCTCAT